CCGCGCCCGAGCCCTGGGCTTTGGCTGTATGTTAACGTGCCTTCCCGCCAACGCCAAATCCCTGCTCTTTCCCAGAAAGTCCCGTTCGAGCTGCCGCTGCAGGCGGGCCTCATGCCGCGGATGCTCATAACCGTCACGGGGACGACGAACGCAAAACCAAACAGGTAGCGGGGCGCCGAGCACCCAGCAGCAGCCCTGCGGGCGCAGCGCTGCTTTCGGCAGGCCCTGTAACAGAGGCCGGGGCTTTCGCGGCAAAAGCGGCTAAACCCTTGCTGTCGTTGCAGATTTTCCCTGGATTTCAAGCGAGGGCACGATATTGCCTTCCACTTTAATCCCCGCTTCAACGAGGATAACAGAAAAGTCATCGTCTGTAATTCAATGTTGCAGAACAACTGGGGAAAGGAGGAGAGAACGGCACCTAGGTTTCCCTTTGAAGCTGGAAAACCCTTCAAGGTAACCGCAAAAAAAAACCCCTCAAACCCCTTAACCACACCCAAAAGGGCCAATTTGTTCGGTACATGACAGACGGACAGACACACCCTTTCTCCTGTCTGAAAAATGCAGTTTCTCTACCTGCTTGTAAAAGCAGTTTATTACAGAAGCCTTCAGCCACTCCAGTCCCTCATTTGACTCGACACCGTCACTGCCGCATGTTAGGCGTTGTAGCTCTTTATCCCTGCAGACGGCTGGGCAGAAAGTTCAAGTCCCAGCTTTGGGGCTGACGCGAGATCCCACATGGCTGGTGGAGCTGGGCCCCTTAGATGTGTGTCTTCTGAGAGCGGTAACTCGAAAATCCACCTGCAAGTTATGTCCTGGTGGCACCAACATGCTGTTAACGTGCCAGCAGCACCCCTACCACGTGCTGGCAGGGTTGTTTCATCAGGGCTGTGTAACGAGGTGGGGAATAACTATAAGGACCTTGATGCTTTCCCACACGAATCTGCTCCCTCTTAGAAGGAAGATGCCTGAGATTTAATTTCTGCTTATTTATGTTCTCCCTCTCTACTATTAAATGCTCTCCATTTACGCTGCCATGCTCCAGCAGTTGTTTAACAGGTTTCCATAAGGCATTTTTTCCCCCTCTATTTAGGGTAAGTCAGCTTCAGATCAGTTAGGTCTCCAAAGAGCCTGCAGGGAGAGCAGCCAACAACCCTTCTCGAGCTGCTTCTCCTGCAGAGTGGGTTCAACGCATGGTGAGAAGGCAGCTCTCACCGTGAAACATTGGGCACTGCAACCTGAAAACATTGCAGTAGTCATGAGGAGATGCTTAGCTAAATTGTCAAGGAGAAAGAGTAGATGAGGGCTTCTGGGAAGGCAAAGACCATCACTGTTTTTGCAAATGACAGTTGCTGTACCAGCTCCTACTCCTACACACCACCAGGCTGGACTCGGCTGGCAGCAGCCCTTCACCAGGTGCCAAACCTGCTTGTTTTCAGTCCGATTTTGTGCCTTAAAACTGCAACAAATCTAGAATTTATCTTTTGTCTAATTTGGTGTCTTTATTTCAGCTCCAGATCCTTTGTGAGGTGGATCACTTCAAGGTAGCAGTCAATGATGCTCACTTGCTGCAGTACAACTACCGGGAGAAGAGACTGAATGAAATCACCAGACTCTGCATTGCTGGGGACATCTCTCTCACCAGCGTTATGCCTACCATGATATAACTAAGGTGTTGTCACATAATTTCATGCTTTTAATATGGCTGTAACAGAAGTGCCTTCTTGCATGAATACTTTTACTACATTTAATTAAAATATACTTTGGAAGTAAAATTTGTTTTCTGTAAGATACCAGAGGACAAGCTCCTCCAGCAAGTTCAAAGTTCAAATATGGAAGTACCTGAATCTTTGCAGTAGAGAATGAGAAAAGCTCATTGCCAAAAGAGAATGAATAGGAGCCATTTCTGATCTGCCAGAAGACAAGTACTTGGGAAAGCAGTCCGTGCCATGTGGCTAGTGGTCCTGTGAGGTAGAGTGGAAATCCTGCACCCTACCTAGTACCAGCCAGTAGTTGGTATTTTTAGCCTCTGCTGGATAGAGCACTGTTATTGCCTTTCCACTGAAGGAATCAACGTAGAGAAGGGCAGTTCAGTCCCCAGGGGAGCACAAGGGCAGGAGCTGCACGCTCAGGCTGTGAAGGGGCTGTGCATAATTCACAGAAGTGTCACCTCACTGAAGTTGTCCACTAGGAAACGCTGAAAACAGGGAAAACGAGAGAGGCCCCTGATCCTGACCAGAATGAGGAACTTCAGCGTTGGGTTCAAAGCCAAATTAGGAGGGAGCAAAATCCACCCCCCACCCTCCCAGGCAATCGTGGCTAGGAAAGTTACTGCTCTCCCGTTTCAAAGGCCCATTCTGCTGTCAGAGCTGCAGGGGGTGGCCCAGACCAGCATGTCCCGAACACACTTTCCTCTCAGAATATCCACTTTGTACGAGCATTACATACCCCATTAAACAGGCCACAGGCCTCGTGCTCCCTCGCCTCATTGCTTCCACGTCAGTCAAGACCGGTTTGAGGGTGGGGAGGAAGTTTACTGGCAAGTTCAGCTCATGAGTCAGACTGGTGATTAAAGTATGTTCCCTTCACTGTTGATCTAGTCTTGTCTGCAAAACAAGAGTGGTGCAATAAGCCACTGCTGAAGTTTCCAAGGATCTTTGGCACGTCTCACCCTTTTATATAACAGTCACTCCATTTATGCTTGGAACTGCCATATTACAACAAGCACAGTGTTCACATTTCCAGCAGAACCAGCGGCCTAGACCAGCACATTGCTAACATGGGCGTGCACGCATACGTCAGATGGCAGAACTCCCTCCTTACCACTATTCATTGCACAGGCTTGAAGAGCGAACAGAAAAAGCAAGTCGGTGAGAGCTAGCTTTTTGAGACTATTCATAAAAACCGCATTTACGACTGAAGAAAGTTGATTCCAGCACAGTAACACCAAGTCAGGTCAGCTTCCTCTATTTTATTTCAGTGTAATAGGTACACAATTTCCAGGTTAGATCTTAAATCAGACAAGCTCCCCCAGCTGTAGTGTAGCAGCAATGCTTTCTGCTGTGAAAGATTACAGACTGAGGGATTTGCATTACCTTCACTGGGTTTACAATAAAGGCTAGGGGGAAGAATGTGCATTACACTAAGATCATCACTGCAAGAAGAAGCCCAGTCAGGTATTTCTTAAAAATGTTAGCTGAAGGTACGCCAATAACTTATTCTTTATATTTACTTAGTGACCTGCATGTTCCCTATATGTGAATATATTAATCCAGCTAAGAGAATACGTAAGGAATAAGCAGAGGCTGACAATAACATGTCAAGTTTTCAGAGAAAGAGGTTAAGAGATCTTCAGCTGAAAAAAAGGGAAGAGAGCAAATGGAGGTTGGTTTGAAGGACACAGGTACCTGCTGAAAAGCAAAAAAAAAAAACCTCCCCCCCAAAACAAAAAACCCTATTTAATATACTGCAGGGAAAAGATTACCTGACTTGTAAATCCTTTTCCTGAAAAATTGTTTCTACTGTTACAAAGCAAGTAGTGGTAACCACCTTGTAACAAGAAAGTATTATATGCAAAGCTTGTCAGATCAGGGGATTAAGCACAGTTAATGCACAGAATACTAGAGCCCAAGGGAGTAACACCACCCTGGTGACAGCAGTAGAATATGGAACGGCACTTCAGGATCGGTAGCAGGGCAACTCTTACTCCCAGCAGGTGCCCTCCCATCAGGAAGAGGGCACAGGTCCAGCTAATCCAGTAGCCATCTCTCTAAGAAAATAATTCATGAGGTAAGAAAGACCAGGTGGAGAGAACAGCCTAAAGATGAATAATTTTACAACTTGAAGTAGACGGGAATAACATGAAACTATACAAAAATAAAAATATTTCAGGTTGGAGTCAGAGTATACAATCATTGGCTACAGCAGTATAACCAGCAAACACTGCTATTTCTATACAGCCGTAATCACAGTGCATAATGTCTGCACTATAAAATGTTACAAAATATAAGTTCCACTATAAAATACTACAGATATTCACTCAGAACACAGTTGAGGGGTAGCAGACTATCTCTGATATCCTCTATGTTTTTTCATCAATAGAATTTACACATTTTGAATTTCAAGTCACTCTTCATTTTTCCCCAGAGGGAGAAAGGGGAGAAAATACAATGAGGTCACTGAATGTTTCAGCCGCTGCAAACTTCTGGGCTTTGTTCTTGATTGGAGTGAAGGGAAGCTCACCACGCGTCGCCGGCTGTGGGGGGAATTAAAGTGTGAAGTAAGCGTTCAAGTAACAATTATCCGTTCTACAAAACATAGCACCGCAAGAACACAAGAGGAGCTAATAGCAAATTCCCTTTCTCTAGTGCCATCTATATAAACACCAAACCAACGGTAATTACTGTCAGGCCACTGCTTATGCACGTTAGACGCCTGTATACTTGAGAGGCCATGCAGAAATCACAGGATAAAAACAGCAGGAAGTGTTTTTGACAAAGGTACAGGAGAAGCAAGCAATTCTACTGCATCTTATTCAATACTGCGAATACATAACAGTTTTAGAAGAGGCAAGATTAAGGCAAAGCGCAACTTTGTCAGGCAGATCTGAAAATGTTCCTTAAATCTTCAGCTGTTTAGTAGATGCAAAAATACTACGATACACTTGCTTATGTGTGACAATAACTACCATTGTAACCCTTCTCCAAAGCAACAGACAGTTCCAAACCATACACCACCATCAGTACCATGACTTTCTAGCAGAAATGCTACAAGCTTATTTCCAGACATAAAATAAGAAATGAATAGGTGGTGTATTCTGAAGATACTCAATACATAAAGCAGTAATCCGTATTTTAGAAAGGATTTTTCACAACAGCCTGAGGAAACTGGATATCCAAATTCTTTAAGCAGTTTTGAAAGTCTTTGTACACCTGCTTTTTTCTGTTGAAGCTTGCTTCCAGCTCTCAAAGCTAAAGTGTTAAAACCAGAGATGCAAAGACCTGGAAAACTCCCATAAGAAAGTAGAAGGAAAAAACCAGCCAGTTCAAACAGATTATGTTAGTAAATATTTACAAGGAAACACACAAGGAATATGATTTAAAGGATCAATCTGATAAGAATCGGTCATATGCTTCTGTTACAAATGTCTGATTCATCCTATGATCAACCTGTGCAATAAGGAACAACAGTCTGAGCCACTGCAGGGAGAGAGGAATCATGGCCTGTATTTATTAGAATAAGTTGTATGAATTGGCTTGATAACATCTTCTTATAGAGTTTAATTTTCTCTATGTAATGACTAATTCTGTAGGAAAGGTTCACAGTACTACAAACAAATGGGCAACTTACCATATCAAAAGGATTTCTACCAGTGCACGTGAAATCACTACACAAAGCATCTGAAAAATAAAAGTATTTCAATATTTTAAAAAATTAGTCTGCTGCTAATGCTGGAAAAAGCTGTATGGTTTTCTGCAGTTATGAGGAAAAACTGAACTGTCTGCATTTACTTCTAATGCAAACCTTTTTACCAGCTTTCTACTTCACATATTGGAGGAAAACAACCCCAAAAAAATCTGAGGGGCGCTGTCTGCTAAACACACGCAGCCTGCGTAAGTCATGCTAGCTAATGCTAGGTAGGTTGTGCCACAAGCATACATAGATTGACAAAACTACACAAATGAAAATGCTTTCAAAAATTAATACCTAGAGTACCATAAGACTTGAAAATAAACATGAGGCCCCAGCAATACTACATAAATTACACCGAACAGCGTTAAGATATGCACCTGGCTTAGGGTGTGGTATTTTTGGTTCTCCAGAGTGAGCCAAGTTAGTCTCTGTGCAGATGTCCTTCTCTGGACTGCGCATGACAATATCTTGTCCTTGTTCTGCGGCATATAGTTCCATCTCTTCCATGCCATCCATTTCTTTTGATTCACTGTCAGGATTTTCCAGCATCTGAAAAACAGGAATTTTAACTGTTCCTAACTCTTTGTGAGGCTAAAGATGTCAGCAGCAGCTATATTTGTTTCCCAGAGAACGAAAGGAGCAGCATCAGTGAAATAAGGAGGACATAAGGCAGTACTTAAGACACTGGGAAGCTTTCTTATTCTCTGTTTTGTCTGCACTGAAAGAAAGTTTGTCAGCTATTGATGCAGAAGCACAAAGTTGAAAAGATAGCCAGGACGTTCACGGGATGCGAGCTTGCAGAAACCAGCACATCACTGGTTAGGTCAAACCTAGTCCATATACCTCATTTACAGTTTTCAAGGACAACTCAGGAGAGATGGAGACTCAATGCAGGACACTGTACAAAGGACATGCAGGACAAAGCTGTGATCTACTTCATATAAACTTTTCCCAAATACCTTCTTAAGCTTGACAATCTCTTAAAGAGAGTATAAAGGAAGTTCTTCCACCTCAAAGAAGATTTTGAACTTAACTGAAGTGCTTAAAAATTGTTGAGGATGATAAATATTCTCCTAATGAGACTTCACCTCAAGAAAAATCTATGGGTAATACTGAACGTTAAAGATTCTCACAATTTTCCCCAAAGAGGGTCATCACCAACAAGAAACTTCTCATGTGACAGGGAAAGAATGAAGTAAAAGGAAAAAGAGCAAATTCATTCAGCAAGATGTTTTGTATATTAGATTCTGAATAAAGATGGGCTATCAGTATAGCTGAGTTAGAAGCCAAGGAAGAGAATGCTGTTCATTGACATTTATGTATATGAGGCTGATACAAACAAACAAGAACATATCTGCCTGTTTCTAAATAGGATAGATGAAAAGGGAAATCAATACAACAGAATTGGCAGTCAATAGCAGGAATATGGCAGCTGCTGGAATGCTAGCAGGCCCCAGAAAAGCTGCTGTAGTGCTGCACAGGTCCAGGCTATAGAAAACAAAAATTAAGATGCTACACTTCTAACAACAGTACTAAAGGATGATTATTGAACTCCAAAGTGCTGGCCTTTGCTGACTAACACAGCATCATCTGAACTACAGAGGCCACATTCCTATTTTTAATGGCTACAAGCCCTCAAAAGTAAGCATGTCATGAAGTCCTCGTATTTCAAGGCATGGATTTCTGAACTCTAGTACTTGTATTACTAACAATGCTCTTGCTATAACTTTAAGCAATAGAACAGTCCAAAGCCCACCTATGACAACATGAGGACCCAGAGACCTATGTGCTGCTGCTGCCTTCAGCCATGGTCCCCACATGCCAAAGCATTTAAAAAACCCACACCAGGAAGACAGGTAGCGGACTTCAAGGAGCATTGCTTGCCCAGGTGACAAGTGTCATATAGTAGCCAACAGGAGCTCCAAAAGGTAACTCCCAAAGGGCTAGAGGAGGCCCAAAAACTGCAGCCCAGGAACCAATCCCTATCTACATCTATACCGAGAAGGCAAAAGCACCAGCCTGAGGAATACAGAAGACATCTTGACGAGGACTTGATCAGAAATCCAAGTGTCAAGCATAATAAAAAGAATTGCCAAACCAGAAAATCCAGATTGGGCACCCTTATCCTGAAGGGATGGCAAGAAAGTTTGAACTCTATTTCCTGACAAGAGTTCAGCTCAATGCAAGAGAAGTACTCCAAGCTGCTGGTATTTCCATGTTTGCATGCCAAGTAGAAAACTAAATTTAGTTTACAAACGTTGAACAGTGCAGCCCAAACGACCTTAGGTAAGATCCAAGGGGGTTTCATCTCTGCAGGACTTCTCAGGTGTTTAGAACTGCTGCAGTAAGAAGTGAAGCATTATGTAAAGACACTGCTGCTGACAAAAAGAAGTGTTTTGCAGTACCACGTGTGACATCCAGCAGCTCACACTCAAGTCTGCATGGACAATCAAAATCCAAGACACATACCACATAAGAGGTAAATATATATTTTTTGTTAATAGTAGAAATAGGTATTTAAAGCATACACATGAACTGTACATGACTTACGCTGGTTCCCTCTGCTGTGCCAGCTACAGGACGATGTTCTTCTGCAACTTGGGAAATGCTGAAAGAGAAACAGAAGTGTTTTCACTCTTTCAAGTTATCTACAGGTTTTGACTTAGGCCAACTGATTTGATAATTTGTCCTGCAGTTACGCTTCCTTGCTTGGCACTAGGCAGCCCCCTCAGACTTTCTGGGCAAAAAATAAACTTCTACTCCAGAACAGAAATTACATTTGAGAAGCAAAGTTCTAACATTTATTTGAGGGAAGGAAAAGAAACAAAGACTTAGCAATCTTTATCCCTACCAGATTGGAAGGTAACATTTAATGGGCATTAATATTAATTCTTTCAATTAAAATTATAAAATTATTCGTAGAAAAAAGTTAATTGCAAGTTGCCTTAACATATCTACCTTTGTTCAAGAAAACCACCCGGGAGAGGTTTTCTAGTGGGAAATTGTTGTATTTTCAAATTTTGTGCTGCATGGAAGTCTTTGAGTGCTGGCGTTTGTTTGGCAGTTGTATCCTCAGGGTTACACAGAGCAGAAAGATTGCTCTGAAGCAAAGCTCTCTTGGAAGATCTCGGAGTTGCTAGTTTTTCAGAAGTCCACTGGGAAGATCTACGAGGTGTCTTTGAAAGCAAGCCTGAAAAGAGTGTTTAATGTTTTGTTATTACAGCAGTTTACAGAAGATGAAATCAACTGCTTATTAGGGTTCTAGCTAGAAACATTGTTTAGTTTCTACTACTTGAAGTGTTTTATACAAATGATAACCTGAAATCTTACATACACTGCCAGCAAAACTGAATAAAAATGACAAGAGCAAATCAGTATGTCACAAAACTATCTCAACTCAAATTAAGAAATTTAGTAATGACTATTCCTTCAGAAAGAACCTGATACAGTGAGATTTGCTGTTCATATTAAAACGTCCACACAGTGTAAGTTGTCTTTATTAAGTCTCTCACGTTCAAAAATGTTAATAGAAGTAAAAAAAGACATAGATACATAATTGCTCCTTATAATCAGTTGTCTAACAGAGCTTAAAGCCAATGCTGCTCAAACCTTTTCAGAAGCTCTTTTGTACTAACAGCAAGCATATTTAAAAAGTCACTAGTCTTGCGATAAGGAAAAAAGTCTACACAAAAATCAAACTGGAAAATTCAAAGTCAGATTGAGAACCAGAAATGGAAGGAAGTCGAACGACTCTCCAAGAATCAAGGATTACTGAAAACACTGGCTTCACAGAGATTGCAATAAGATGCTGAAAATAAAATTATATTTTGAGTGTGTGCTCAAGAAAACCGTTAAACAGCTTTTCTAGAAGACTGAAACATTACAATCTTGATGAACATGAAGACCGGCATATTTTATTTGCAGCTTTGACAGTACTGCAAGAGATTAAATAAAGGACATTAACATACACTGATCTTGATGAACAGCTTGTCAACTAAGTCTGGGAATACTCAGATTAAAACTTCATAGCTAACCAAATGCTGAACCACCACATACCAGCTGTTTTCACATTTCTGTCTAAGCAGACATAATGTTGCCATACTCCTATCAAAGTATCCAGGTAGAACAGTTTACTGGGTTCCCTGACATAATTAACCTTGACTTGAAACATTAATTCTACCCAACACTGGAGGGAAACAACAGCATCCAGTATAAACAGCGTAATTCCTCCTCAATCAGCTTGTTCAGGTCTCTTCAGGAGTTCCAGGTCACAGAAATCAAGATTAAGCCTCACCTACCTGGAAAGGATTTCACAGGGCTTTCAACTCTAAAAAATCCTCCTTCAAAAACCACTTTTTCTACTTCTGGTGGCTTCTCCTGGTGTGTACAATCAGCAGCTCCCTCATGCTTCATTTTATCCCTCATAGCTGCTTTTATAGCAGCAAGCCGGCTTCGGGCAGCAGTTCTTCCAGCCGCTCCCAGCTTTGGTTTGGATACCCCATTTGGAACAGTCTTTTTCTGAAATTGTAAGAAAGTTTGGTCACATCTGGAAGCTTCAGTTGGGGCAATTACATCCAAATATTTATGTGGCTGCTGGCTACTGCAGCTGCTGGCCACACACAAGGACAGCAACAGGCAACAGACATGCTGGAGACAAGATCTCTGCTCACCTCCAGAATGTCTTGTACTGCCATTCAGCTATAAAGGCTAGTCTGTGACAACAACGTTAAGGAATTTTCACAGGAAGCCTGCAGGTCAGAAATACTCAGCGCAACTGTTTTTCTAAGAACTCCAGTTAAAATTCTTGCTTTAGAGGCCTGAGAACAGTGGGATATAGGGACTCCTAGTGGCAGGGACATAAGATGGACACCGGTCACCCCGTGAAGTTTCTTCTGGCAACCATTTTTTCCAGAAGTGTAGTGTTTCGTATCATGTGTAGGTTCTGATATGTATGCTCAGTTGACATGGACTACATTCCACTTAGTTTCCTCTGCCTAGAGTTTCTTATAGGCCTTCATATTGTTTTTATAATTAGCTGAGCAGTCTCAAAGAACTGGTCAGCGTTTAGGCCGTGCAAATATGATTATGTTCAGTCATTAGAAATGATTCTATATTCCAAGTCAAAGAGTAGATAAAATAGCTTACATTATAGCTTACTTTGCAATAAGCAATAGCTTATTTTGGGCAGCATCAGATTCGTGCATGCTTAGAGAGTTAGATGTTTAATGCTACCTGTGGTACTAATGCCCTAACGGGCACCAATATTAGTTTAGCACTCATTGCTTAAAACTGTTAGTCACTGTCAAATTGCTGTGTAGAGTTTCTTCTTCAGTTAAGTCAGTACCAACACCAGTGGATCACAGAGTTTTTTTTTTTTTTTTTAAAAACATCTTAAGAGTAAATTTCTATTCTACATTTAACAGACTTGCCTTACTCGGGCAACTCCCAAGGGAGTGACTGTAAAT